CTCTCCAGAATACTGCAGAACAATGACATCAATCTTAAGACTAAGATGAGCCTGATCCAGGCCATAATCTTCACAATTGCTTGCTACACATCAGAGAGCTGGACAATGACTAAGGATGATAGAAAGAGAAGTGATGATGCCTTTGAGCTGTGGTGCTGGAAGAGTGTTGAATATACCATGGACTTCCAAGAGTACAAACAGGTTTATCCTAAAGAAGGTGAAGCCAGGCTGCTCCATGGAGGATCCTGAGGCTTTGTCTGACACACTATGGGCATGTTGTAAGGAGGGCATGTTCCAAGGAACCAGTCCTTGGAAAGGGACATCATGCTTGGAAGGGTGGAGGGACAGAGAAAGAGAGGGAGACCTTCAATGAAATGGATTGATATAGTGACTGGGGTAATGAAGGCAGGTGTGTCAAGAGACAGTAAAATTGGCACAGGATAGAGCAGGTTTCAAAGCTATTGTACATAGGGTATCTATGAGTCACAAGCAACTCGACGGCACATAACAACTACATTTACAGCACTACAATCCTGTTATACTTTGGGCATGTTCCCTGGAAAGGGATTTCATGCTTGGAAAGGTGGAGGGTCAGAGAAAGAGCAGATGATCGTCAAGGAGGTCTACTGACAAGTGACTGCAGCAATGTGCTCAAGTGTGTTAGAGACGACGAAGAATAGCATAGCAGAGGACAGCGCTCAGGTCTGTTGTTTACAGGTCACTGTGGGTAGACAGCACCTAACAACAATTACATTTAAGTAAATCTTACATGAAGTTGGGTTGGATGTTTTGGTTTTTTTAATTGTAGCAGTACATCAACAGGAAGATGCCAAAAATTCAAGGTGGACTGAAAGAACAGAATGTGGATTCAGGAATACTGCTAATGTCAGATGGGTCTTGGCTGAAAGTAGAAAATAGCAGAAAGAGGTTTACTTGTGTTATACCCAGTGGGTAAAAGCATTTGACTATGTGAATCATACCAAGTTATGGATAGCACTGTGATGAATGAAATTCTAGAATAATCATGCTTAGGTGGAAGCTGGATGGACATAGACCAAGAGTCAGTTATTTAAACAGAAGAAGGGCATACTTCTGTTTAAAATACTTGTGGTTTAAAATCAGAAGAGAGGTATGTCTGGGTTTCACTATACTTATCCAGTCTATATGCTGAGAATACTGGAATGGGACTATATGAAGAAGAATGGGCATCTGGATTGTAGGAAGAATCATTAATAACTTGCTATACACAGAGGATACAACCTTCCTTGTGGAAAGCAAAGAGGACTAGAAGCATTTAGTGAACAACAAAGACAACAGGCTTCATTATGGATCACACCTCAATATAAAATCCTCACAATTGGACCAATAAGCAACATCACAACAAATGGTAAAGACACTGGGATACATAATCAATACCCACTGAAGAGGAGTTAAGAAATCAAATGATAAATTGCATTTGGCAAATCTATTGCAAAAGACTTCTTCAAAGTATCAAATATCAAGGCTGTCATTTTGAGGACTGGGGTGTACCTGGCACAAGTCATGGTATTTTCAGTCCCTTTATATGCAGCAAAGAATTATATTTCAACATGGAAAAAAACAAAACTCCTTACTCCTGGAATAGACAACATCACAATATGCAGAGTTGTCAACTATTTCATTTCACATGGATTACCCTGGGTAACAGCAGTCAAGATATCAAGACATACTGCATTAGGAAGATCTGCTGCCAAGGACATCTCCAAAATGCTAAGGAGCAAGGATGTCAGTTAAAGACAAAGGTGTACCCGAGCTAAGTCATGGTATTTTTAATTAATTCCTATGAATCTGAAAGTTGGATGGTGAATAAGAATGACAGAAGAATTGGTGTCTTTAAGTTGTAGTGTTAAAGTACTGAAAATACCTACCAGTGGACTGCTAAAAAAAAACACATCTGTCTTGGAGGAAGTGATGCCACATTCTTCTTCATACAATCCAGCTTCCTGAATGATTTGCTTAGCATACAGATTCAACAGGTATTGAAGAAGGATAAAGCCTTCATGTACACCTTGATTTTAAACCAGGCAGTGTTCTCTTGCTCTGTTCAAAGAACAGCTTTTTGATCTAGGTATAAGTTTCACATGAGCACAATTAAGTTTTCTGGGAGACCCACTCTTCTCAACCATAATTTCTTATGATTCACACAGATCATTAACACATACGATGAGTACTGGCTAATTTTCAAGAGCTTACCTAAGTGACTTTAAAAATCAAATTAGATTCATTTTCTTCACCTGCTGCCCCCACCAACTAATTTCTGCAGCTCTGCAACTGCATCCCTGCCCATCCTCACCCTTCTGCCCCCAACCCTCACCTCCTTGTACCCCCAATATGTTTTTGTCGCAATAAAAAATTAAAAAAAAACAAATTAGAAGAGATATTACAACAAAGTCATGAGAATTATTGCAACACAATTATGAAAATAATTTTGTATAATTTAAGTATAGTATGTTGCTGTTACTGAATATTCTCAGAGTTGATCCCAACCTGTAGTTACCCCACATGATAGAGTGGAACTGCACCATATGACTTCCCTGGAATCACTACAGAAGCAGATCATTCAAAGGTTTTCCAATTTATCTTCTTTCTTTAACATCCAAACACAGACCTTCAACGCCTTTTACAGTATAAAAAGGTTTTAATCAGGAGCTCTGGTGGCCTGGTGGCAAGAAGCTGTGCTGCAATCCCAAAGGTGCATGGTTCGAATCCACCAGATGCTCCACTGGGCAAGGAGGAGCAATATCCTCCTGTGCCAATAGGGTTTGATTTGATGATACACAGCAGGAAAAAGAGAGAAATAAAAATTTTTTTTAAAAAAAGGTTTTAATCAGGCAAATATTTCCCTTTCAAGGCTAATTAAAATATTATTTTTATTGTTACTATCTATCGAGTTGGAAACTACTCACAGCTGACCCAACAGTGTGTTTTCAGAGGCAGTAAACTGCATGGGAGTAGAAAGCCCATTTTTTCCCATGAAGTAACTGGTGGATTTGAATTGCATTCCTCAGAGTTGGCAGAACAATTCCTTACTCCTAAGCCACCAGGGCTTGCCCAACCTTTTCTCTTGAAGCAGCTGGTCGGTTCAAACTGCCTGCCTTTGGTTTAACAACACAACTTCTTAATCTCTGGGCCACGAACACTCCCTGGAAGGCTGCTGATACAATGGGGCTATAAATAATGTCTTTTTTTAAAAATCTGTCTGATTAAATTGAAAACCAATTTGCTTTGTAAACTTTTAATCAAATTTTTAAAAAGATTAAAAAGGTATACTTCAGTAAAATAAAAAACAAAATATAACCACCATAATAATCATATATTGCTTCTACTAGGGATTCAAGGGAAGATTTAATACAATATACTGGCTGCCTAATTTGCAAATCTAAAACAGACTGAGGGTCTAAACCATCCTCTGGAAGAGAAAGTGGGAGTGAAGGGGAGTTTATTCCTTTTTCCCTCCTTCTTAGATATGACTAAACCAGATATTCCAAAAGTAAAGAAGCCTCATTTCAAGTTAATTACTCTGCTTACAAGTTTATTTACATAATAATTGTTACTAGTGGTTTTACGGAATTCCTTGTATTTACACTGTATATACACATTTATACTTGAAAGGTAAAGAAACTGTACAATAATAAAAATAAGGAAAAGAAATACAGTAATTAGGTTCAACTCAGCAAACAAATATACAAAAGTTTAGGCATGGAGATAACCTCAGTGAGATTACTGCTAGGAGTTACATTCTATCAGAATCATCAAAACAAAGGAAGCAGTTAACAGAATTCAACAGTCATCACAAAACAAATTCATTCCCTCAATATTTTATTACATTACCATTTCAACTAAACAAACCCCTATGTCAGGAGGTACCTTCTGAGGGTCTCACTTGTAGGCCACAGGAGTAAAAACACATGGGTGTACTCTGGTCCCACATTCCCAAAGAGGCAGTCAGTACACTAACAATGACCTCAGGCTTGTTAGTCTAAAAACTACATACCACTAACCAAAACTGTGCTGTGCTTCAAATCAAACTTTAACAGGAAAGCACACTACAAATCTAATTATTAACCAAATAGTTTGTTATAAAGATATTGCTCAAAATACTCAAGTGATTTGTTTTAGACTCAAAAATTATGTATGTTATTGGGTAGTAAATTTAATGAAAATTTATCAGTGATTAATAATTTCTCTATCGACGACAGCATCAAAGTTACATTAATTAGGAAAGGTTAATTTTATATTTTTTTTACCATTATTTCAATTCATTAGAAATTATGCATAATGTTTTACAAGTCAGGAGCTGACTACATATTAAGATTTCAAATTTCAAATTTTGTTTCTATAGATAGTAAAGAAATTTTAACTAAAATCTGAAGTCTTGCCAAGTCACACGCTTCTTAAGAACTTTCAGAACTCACTACTTTTTACTTCTTACAAGTTAAAAATAAAACAAACCTCATTTATATTTATGGACTTATTTCCAAAGTCAAGTTTTAAATACAATAAAGTGCAAATAATTGTCCTTCCCTCAGTTATTTAATTTTTCTAGCATTAAATTACTAGATGAACAGTTTCTTAGAGTAGAAACAAAAAGGCTAAAATTCTTTGAGTGATAAGAATTCCTTTTGTGATAAAACAGTATCTGCAATAACAAATAGACACACTACTACATGAAAACACCTCAACAAATATTACTCTCCCACCAATATTTCTGGCCCCAGGTAATATAAATTTACCCCAACTAGTGAATGAAGTGAAGTGCCAAATTGAACTACTTAAAAAAATCTGTAACTAAAACTGCTTCTTCTTTGCCAATCTCTTTAAAAGTCAGAACCAGAAATACTATGTATACTAACATGTTTATGTTAAATAAGATTCGGAGGGCAAGGGAGTATTTGCAATCCCACTCCGACCTTCAAAAGTGCCTCTGTAAGAAAGAAAACATGTTGTAAAAAGTTGTTTTGTCTCCAAAATGATTTAAAAAATTTATTGCATTGAACTATTCACTCCAAATTATGGAGTATGAAACTATTTAAACTTTTACTTTTGTAAAACGGCTCCTCCTACAAAATACTTTTTCATAATACTGTCAGTAGCATTTCATTATGTTAACCACAGAATTCAAAATACGCAGTTTTCCCGATCTTGATTCTTTTTGATTTCCCCAATATTTTCCTACATGCTTTTTTATATAGGAAACAAAAAAATTTTATCAAAAAAGCATTTTAATATTTTACTTAGTCTATTAATTTTGAAGATTAGCTTTTCAGAGCAGGACTACTGTTCTTGTCTCCTTCTTTGATATCCTTCATTACAGATGCAAAGACCTGAAAATGACATAAAATAAAGATTAATCCTCAAAAACTACTACCCAGATGTATTTTAACAATAATGTCACCCAATTTATCAAAGGGACTCCAAGGGTAAAAGAGCTAATGATCCATTCCCATACACACTGAGTCACACTGACCCTCTAGCAGTTTTCTAAGGCTATAAATTGCAGAGGAGGAAAGTGTTCATCTTTCTCTTACAGAGCCTCTGGTGGAGAAAGAGGGAGAAGCTCTACCTTCCGGTTAGAGGACAACTCCCTAAGGAGTATGTCCCCAGAGCTCCCTACTCACACAAATTCCTAGAAAATCTTATGGGGCATACTCTGTCACATGGCTGCTGGACGAATTTGATTCAAGGTTCAAGGGCACATAACATCAATAACATCAGAATGAAAATGCTTTCCTGTACGCCACTCTATCTTCTGAGAAATTCCCATTGTGAAATTCCCTTGTAATTTTTAAACAAAGTTCAATAGAATCTGATTAGGTTTGAGTTATCATCACTTGTCTAATATTCTGAAGTTTTTCTAATGTAAAGGAAAATTTTCTAGACTAACATTCCTGGATTTCACTTTAATGAGCTATCACTTAGCTTATACTACTCATATATTTGCTTCCCTAAAAAACAAAAACAAACAAACCCCCCCCAACAACAACAACAACAAAACCCCATAAAAGCAAGCATCCAAAAAACCAGGACCATACATTATATCTTGCTGCTGCAAATTCTTTGTAGTTCCTTTTCACTGCAACTCTTTGTTGTTAGGTGCCATCAAATCACCCCAGGCTTATGGAAACCCCATGCACAACTAAACAAAACAGTACTATCCCTCTGATCAGACCACTGTGGATCATGAAGTTTTCACCAGCTCATTTTCAGAAATTTATCAAATACAGGTCTCCTGTCTAGAAAGCAGCAATTATACCACCGAACCAACACTGCCTCATCTTTTGTACATAGCAGGTATGTAATAAAATTGTTACCTATTTAAAATCTCTAAATAATTATATAAAAATAATATACTAGGTTATAATATTGTATCATAAGAATTCTATTTATATAATAATTAAATAATATAATAAGAACTATACTATATTATTGCCAGAGCTGTCTGGCAAATGCATGACTACAGCGGAGAGTACTTCCTTAAACTCGTAAAACATTACTGGACTTACATAAAAACAAAACCATAAGCTTGGAAAAGTTTAAAAAGAAGGGGAAGATCTGTTTTAAGCTCTTGCTTTTTAAAAGACAAAATTATTTTTTAGAAAAATTATATCCTTCTAAATTTACTTTCTTTTATAGGTAAGCACTAATGCTTAAGCAATACACAACTTATTTTACAAGAAGTTAATTTCATTTCATGCATCTATTAGAATTGGGAAATTTTCACTCTACCTGAGTCCATTTTTTGGTGCTATTCTGCATCTGAATAGCTGCAATACAGCCGAACAGCTTTTCTGATGTAATATCTTCTGGCAATTTAGTTAGAAACTGTGCTATATGAATAAAATCCATCTGTAGGAGAATGTCTTCATATAATCGAAGGATTCCTAAGCCAGTCCTAAATAAAAATTCCTCCCCATCTCTGCAAAATACATCCCAGACTCGACAGGCCAAATCAAGTGGTAGTGATTTGCTATACAATGTGAAGATCCTAAAACAAGGAGGAAAAATAGTGACTGAAATTTTTCACTAATTCATTCACTCACTCATTAAACATCTCTATGAAAACTAACTAAAATTAACAAGGCAAGTTAGCTATGTTTCTTTTTTATTATTATTACTAATTTCAACGAATAGCTACAGTTCTTAATTCAAATTATTTAACTAGTTCAAAACAAAATAATAAAGTTCTGTGACTTTACAACCTTATATTGCTTTAAGATAGAATACAAACTAGAGTGGCAGCATAGCCTGCTGATTAAAAGGACAGACTCTGAATCCTGAATTGACTATGTTACTTTAAGCATGTTATTTACCATTGCCTCAATTTCCTCATTAAAAAAAAAAAAGATAACTGTATTAGTCCTCAAAACTGTTTTAAAATTAAAGGGTTAATAATTGTATAGAGCTTAGAATAAAAATTGGCACATAAGTAATAGTTTTGAAAGCTACCACTTATTATTGTTGTATAAGGAATATACATACTATCTTTCAGTACCAAATAGAAATACATGAAAGTCTACCTTCTCTATTTCTTCCTTTTCCATAAACGTCTAATGCGTTTTCTCCTCCACTGGGATTTACTTACTAACTCTCTTTGGAGCACATAAACCCTCCAACGGTATCAGCAAAATAGTCCTCCATCTTTCCTGACAGTATCTGATCTTAAGTGATTCTTTATCAGTGGTGCTTTGAGGTGACTTTCCTGTTGGGGAAGTTGAGGACAGGGTGCCATAAGACTTGTCTTGAAGGTGCTTTGGCAAATAAACTACACAGTTTGTGTGTTTATCTGAAGTAGTGATGACTTTGAAGGGAAGATTAAAGACTCTGCTGCCTGCCCAAAATACCCTCACTCACTCTTCTCTTCTCTTGCTTAAATGAATATGGGATTTATATGCAACAAGCTCAACAGAGATAATGACCAACAAATCCATGTTTACTTCATAATTATAAATACATGCTTCATTGCACAGAAAAGAAATATATTCCTGGTAGAATACTGTATCATTGCACAAAATAAGAAAAGGTATAAAAAGGCACAATTTTAGTGCACATAAATCACTTCTTATTAGTTCCATCCTGCTCCTGATAGCAATTTTGTATCCCCCTTAAAGACTTATATCCCCCTTAAAGACTGACAACTGAGTTTTTTGTTGTTATTTGATCTTCGCTTTCTGGGTCTTATATCCCCCTTAAAGACTGACAACTGAGTTTTTTGTTGTTATTTAATCTTAGCTTTCTGGGTCTCATGATAGAAAACTGTTCTTCTCTTCATTATCGTTGGTCCTTACCAGAGGAAACCTAATGTTCTGAGTAGAAATGGAAAAGAATACATGGAAAAATAATTTAGTTTTGAAAACAAAAAAGGCCAGATAAAAGAATCCCCAAACAACTGTGAAGACATGCTATTTTATCAATGTTTATTTCTTTATTTTGTACCCTTACACAATCTATTTTAAGCTAAATCGGTACATTTTTCTGGAAAAAAAGTCACCCATACTTTTTAATTAATTGGCTACTGCTAGTCAGAGTCCTAGACAAACTCTGCCAGTGAATGCAAGAGCCTAGTTTTATACAGGTCAAAAAAGACCTTAGCACTAAGTAAGACATCATTAAAAGAAACCAACAAAAAACTGGATAAAATCTTTTAAAAAAACAACAACAACAACCCTCTGTACAGAAACACTATTACAAGGATCATAGCCCATTATGTTAGGAATAATAATAGCAATGAACTCTTGCTGAGCATTTAATATGTGCTAGGCACTGGAAGAGCTAACCTCACAACTCAAGATATGGTATTATTCCTATTTTGTTTACCATTTCACAACTATTCAAGATATGATATTATGCAACAATGAATGAGTGGAAACGCTAAGTCTCTGTAAACTTTCATTAGAATTAGTTAATTAAAAAAAGGGGAAAAATACAGTGTAAAAACCTCATAGTTACAAGGTTGTTATGCCTTGCTCAACAGTAAACTTATATACCGTATGCTAAGTTTCAAAGAGCATTATTATTTAAATGCTTTTGGGTCATGCACTCAAAATGTAATTGAAATGGAAATTAAAGAAAAAAAGATATGATATTACTCCCATTTTGCTTCCTGTTTCAGGTTCCCAGATAAGAAACTAAAACACAAACTAAGGGATTATACTTTTAACTCAGAGTTCATATTCTTAATCAAATACTCTTTACAAAAGAAAAAGTTAGTTTTTCTAGTTGTAAGGAAAAGTTTTCTCAATGTATGATTCTGTCTGAGAGTAAATGTAATTACTAAAACATATACAGTTTCTATTTTATTTCCTTTTAATATATGTAATATATGCTATGACTTACCAATCTATCAAGTATATGTCTGGTGTAAGGCTGTAAGACTTGAAATGAAGAAACAGTTTGGAGAGATTTTCTTCAAAGAATACTTCAAATGTTGCAAAATATTTCAACATCTACAGATAGGAATATCAATTATATCATTATAGCATAGTCTAAGATAAATTCTTCAACAAACATTAACAGAAAATACTCTTTAATACTTCTTTCTTAATCTTTTCACCAAGTATTTATAAAATTATGATTCAATGAAAAATTCTTACGAGATGAGATTATTTTAGTCTCCAGATTATTATCATTCTAAAAGTGAGATTAAATGATAGACATCAATGGTCAAAGGAAAACATGGTCTATTATAAATGTCCATACCATGCTATGATCGACTCGGAAAAAGGCCAACTGGCATGGCTTATTCAGTAGATTTGCAAATGCAATGAAGGCATCTGCTTCTTCCAAATTCAGAATGAGTACTGCTGCAATGAAGGACATTCCTTGCACCTTCAGAAAGAAAAGAAACAGAAATATGTTTACAATACAAATGTGTTTTATTTTATTGCTAAAATACTACAAAGTTACACCACAAAGTAGAGTTAACCAAGACTTTTTCCCTCTAACAAAGGAGAAAAGAGAAAATCTACTATATTCATGAACATTCCAATTCTTGTTCCTGTGGTATTGTCTTTTAAAAGTATTAGGAAAACCTTTGAGAAAAAAAGAGAAAAAAATCAACACTTACTTGCTACAAAAAGACTATCTCAGGGTACTACTACTTCGGGGTTTGGTTTTTTTTTCAACGTGATTATTTAAAAATAGAATTCTGAATTACAAAGTTTAATCAAAATTTTGACTATTTTCACTATTATAACACATCTGTTTGAGATAGAAAGTGAGGAACTAGGAATAAGGGAAAACTATGAGGACTGCTGTTAAATTGCATGAAAGAAATCTCTGTGGGTTGAAAGTGAGGCTGGATTCCTGAAAAAAGCAGAAGGAAGAAATAAGGAAAAACCAATTAAAGATGGGAAAGAAGCAAGAACAAAGACAAAACAGATTAATAATGAAAATAATGTGAGAAATTTGGAAATGTCCTTGAAGGAAATCAGCAATCTTCATATCCAGATGACACAACCCTGCTTGCTGAAACTGAGGAGGACCTGAAAAGCTTGCTGCAGAAGGTCAAGGACTGCAACCCTCAGTATGTACTGAAGCTCATCAAGAAGACAAAGATTCTCATGACTAGGCCAACTGGCAGCATCATGATAAATAGTGAAGAGATCAAGATTGTTAATAGCATTAGTTTGCTTGGCTCCACAATCAACACTCTTGGCACCAGCAGCCAGGAAATGAAAAGACGTATTGTAATGGGAGAGTCTGATGTCAGAGACCTCTCCAAAGTACTAAAGAGCAATGATGTCACTCTGGAGATTAAGGTGTGCCTGATACCGGCCATGGTCTTGCAATCACTTGCTATGTGTCAGAGAGCTGGACAATTACTAGGGAGGAGAGGAGAATTGATGCCTTTGAGCTGTGGTGTTGGAGAAGAGTACTGAATACACCATGGACTGCTAAGAAAATTAACAGGTTCATCCTAGAGAGGGTTAAACCAGGCTGCTCCTTGGAGGCAAGGATTCTGGGGCTTCGTCTGACATACTTTGGACATGTTCTAAGGAGGGACAGGTCCTTGGAGAGGGATATCATGCTTGGGAGGGTAGAGGGACAGCGTAGGAGGGGAAGACCCTCTATGAGGTGGATTGATTCAGTGACTGGGGTAATCGAGACGGGTGTGTCAGAGGCAGTGCAACTGGCACAGGATAGAGCAGGGTTTAGGGCCGTTGTACGTAAGGTCGCTATGAGTCGTAAGTGACATGACAGCACATAACAACAACAAGAAGAAGCAGGGAAGTAAAATTAAAATATTATGCTATGACCATTCATTCATTTTAAAAAAGAAAAACTTGTATGGCACAATTCTGGTAGAGATATGTATAGAGTATCTAGCCAAATGTTATCAAAGGGCTGCTTGTAATTACTATTTTTTTTTTTTAGGTAAAATAGTAAAGATAAATTAGAAAGTTACATTCCCAAAGGGATGGACCTCTGTCCTTGAAAGGAAATAGGCCTATTTTTAAACTCCCTCTTTACTCTAACAAAAAGGCTGGAAGTATAAACGCCCCCTTCCTGCTGTGATACTATGGAAGAAAGACCTGGCAGACTACTTCCATAAAGATTACTGTCAAGAAAACTCAGTGGAGCAGTTCTACTCTGTCATACATGAGCCAGCCTTCAGTTGAAATCATCTCAATAGCAACAGGTTTGGTTTTAATTTTTTATTCCTTAGCACTTTCAGTCTAGCTTCTTATTCTCGCACTACCTTGAAACTTCTCTTGCAAAGATCATTCGTGATACCCTACTCCCACTCCCTTTTTTCTCAGTGCTGTCGAGTAAGGACCAATTCATAGCTGACCTTCCAGTGATTTTTTTGGTGGGTGTAAATCAACATGGAAGAAGACTGCTTAGCTTTCTTCCAAAGAACTGCTGGTAGATTTGAATGACAAGAGAAATATGCAATGTTTGGGTTAGCAGCACAACTTACTAATGAGCACAGTATTATCCTGTTAGCAGAAATCCCTTAATTTCTTAGTTGATCCAGTTTCTCTTGATTTTCCCATTTCTCTCACTACTTCTTAGTTCTCTTTTCATACTCTACAGTAATGGTTTACTTGATTTTCTAAAATATAAACTCTGTAGGGATAGAAATTATAGTAGGTAGGATAATATCATCTCCAAAGGTGCTGTTCCCATCCTAATCCCCAGACCTTGGAAAGATTTTATCCTACCATCAAAAGGAGATTTGCAGATATAATTAAATTGTTGCTGCTATGTTGTCAGGTGCCATCAAGTCAACTAAGACCTACAGTGACTCTGAACAACAGATCCAAACCTTGCCTATCATGTACCATCCTCATGATCTCTCTGTCATACTCAAGCTCACAATGGTAGTAACTATGTCAATTCAACTTTTTGAGTTTCCCTCTGCCCTTGCACCTTTCCTAGCATGGTGGCTTCCTTCAAGGACTGGTTCCTACTGAGAATATGCCAAAATTAAGGTGATTCCTTATAAATAATCACAAGGATCCATATAAGAAGAAGAAAGCAAGAGATCAGAGAGAGAAATTTTACACTGCTAGCTTTGAAGTTTGCTGTAAAATATGATGGTAACAATAGGAAACTAACATAGATCACATTTTATCTAGTTCCTCATTGTGCTTAATGTTTGCTGAATGGATGAAGATTCAAAGTATTAACCAACTGTAACAGAACGGTAGTACATCAAATAGAAGGGTCTAAAATGGTATTTCATTGATGTTTTTAATGATAAAAACATTATTACTTTATATATAATTAAAATTTTAAAATACTGTCAAACTTTATGCATAAAAACAACTCAAATTCATTGCCAGCAAGTCAGAATCAACTCAAAGTTTACCCTCAAGAAGCTGTAAATTACACAAGAGATTGCTCTTTCTCCCAATTTGCAGCTAGTGAACTTGAACTGCATATCTTTGGGTTGGCAACACAATTCCTACTAGGAAACCAGAGCTTCCCAATGTTATATATACATAGTTATTTAAAGTTTATGGATCCAAACCCATAAACCCAGACCCAAATTAAAATTTGAGCATTTTAATCACTATGGCAACATGTCCTGTCCTTAATTAATAATACATGCTAAATGTAGACATAAAACCCACATACATTCTATATGTGCGTTTTATTTCGTGTATATTGAACAGTTTACAGCCCTGGAAACCCTATCTATGTTCCAGTTCTACTCTTTCCTGCAGGGTTGCTGTATGTCAGAACATACTCTAGGGCATTCATTGCATTTTTGTTGAGGGATTTTCATTATGGCAGTTAAAAACCAATTGTATCAAATCACATAATGAAATATGTTTTCCAATGCAGTTTATAACAGCCAGAAATCTGCAGTTTCAGGGTAAATAATATATTAAAGTATATAATAGGATAAAAATCTATTATCAATATTATTGTTATTGAAAGTGCAGTACAGTAACTTTTCATTTTCTTAACTTTTTCTGTGTATATTAAGTTAAACAAAGTACCTCATAATGGGCATAAAAAGTAGATTTTAGTTTCAATAAAATATAGCTAAGCAATCCTGTGTCTTTTTAATATAATTGAAGAAGGACTTATAAGCTTGTGAGTAGCTATGTAAGGTAAGGTGTAACTAATGATCCTTCCTCAATTGGAGCTAAGAAGAGGGAGAAAATCAAAGACACATGAAAACAATTAGTCCAAAAGTCTAGTGGACTCTAAGACCTTCAGACCAGAAAAACTAGACAATACCCAGCTGTATCGGTACTAGATTAGGGCTAGGTAGATTGGTGAAGGTATTACATTAGAAAGCCCTGGATAGAGTGGGCGAAACAGTGGAACAATACATAAAATCATAAAAAGACCAGGTTACGTGGTCTGATAAAAGACTAGTGGAACCCTTGAGATTATGGTCTTTGGCTATTTTCAGGCCTGAACTGAACTCTTGGCACAATTTTCAGCCAAATAAAAGACAATTCTAAAACGTGAACACTGCCACTAGGGACACTGCCACTCCTAAGAGCAATCAACTATTGAAGGTCAAAAGGGAAACATTTGCTCAAAGACAAAGTTCAGAAGGCAAAATGAATGGAAACACAAGAATTCAGGGTATGTGCTGTTACATCAAGCACCAAGCGGTTGCAATCAATGTCACAAAACAAAATATTGTCTGAATTTCTGAACAGGAATTTAATTTGATTTGTAAATTTCCCAAAAAAATATTCATCAACTGTTGAATGGAAACCTGATTTGCACTGTAAACCTTCCCCCAGCTAACAGAAGCTTTTAAAAAGTATAAACAAAATGTTTATACAGTAAATTTTAAAAAATCACTGCATTGCAACAAATACTTACATAACCAACGTCAGGTCTGTAACATGTATAGGCCCCTAAAATACTATGTAAGACATCATGATATGGGCCACCCTTAAGAGAGAAAATTAAATTAGAAACTATTCAAATAATTATTGCAATACTCAAATTTCATGCTAATAAGCTCTAACATTTCCTAAATGACTATTTTTTTAGTGTATTTAAAAATTGTACAAAGTATTCTAAATACATTGACAAATGCTATAGAAGTATTAATAAAAAATATTTAATCCTGACAGAGGAAAAGAAAAAGCCAAACAAACTTATCTATTGGATGCAAACTATATAGTTGGTTTATAATTTTAAAGACTTTTAGATTTAGCACATTAAAAGTATGATTAAGAGAGGCTTTTTATCTTATACATTGAAATTTTAGTGAAAGAAAATGAAATTAAGCTCTTGATAAATTTAATCTTAGCAATAAAGAGTTTTACCTCCTTCTATCAACCTAAAGATAGAGGAATTCCATGCATAAAATACATTTAAGAGAAATTTTTTCATAAAGAAATTTAACAGCCTCAATAATAAATATGATAACTAAAAGATCAGTGGAATAAAACTATATCAATTCCTTTAAGTTCTCCTATGAACTTTACTCTTTATATAAAGGTTTTTAAATTTTACAGCTTTGTCTTTTTAAAAATTATAGCTATGCATTTTGAGACTTTTGTCCCTAGCCTAGCATATAGCTGCTTATAAGTTATAAGCTGAGATACCCTCACCTTCTGAAAGATGTAGAGAGACGGAAATGTACGGGATATGTCCAGTTTAATTAATTCCAAACTGGCTTCACGATCAGCAACAGATACACCTGCATTTGTCAAGTAGATAAAATTATCTGTATTAAGTACTGTTTTGTAAGCATAGAGTGATCATATAATAAATATGTTACTTAAGGCAAGTCAAAAGCTGGATAACCAGGAAATTTAAAGAAATGTCATGACTTTTGTTGGAAATGTAAGCTTTTTTATATCAAGAAAATATCTACATGCTTAAAAAGTTAGGAGGTGAAGGATTTCTACTTCCAATTCTGACATAGTTGGGGAATAATACTGCTCTCACTCTAACTAGGAAAAGATAAATAAATTAATAAAAGTCTCTCTGTTTTCCTCACTGCCTTTGGGTTGGAATCAACTCATAGCTGACCCTTCAGTGGGTTTTCAAAGATTGTCATTCTGGAGACTGTCCATTCTTCTGGTGGACTGAACTGCCAGAGATAGCACCTTTGGGTTAGAACTGCAACACTCTACCGATTCGGCCACCAGAGTTCCCCAAATTACAAATGTAACATACAATATTAATTTTTTTTTAATAAAAAAAAGGTCATCAGTGAGTTTTGGGCACAGATAGATGATTTAAATTCTAATGGAAAAAGCCTTTTTATTCTCCTTAGGGGCATTTGTTAAGTCTATGATTGGGTGTAGGATCTCTCTTGCCATAGACAAAGGTACTCTGCTGAGGAAAGAAAAATTACCAAAATTTTGCAAAGCTTATACAATTTCTTTTGATTGCTGGGGTAGTGCAAGGGGGCAGGCTGGAAAGGCAGAATGAAATCAGCCAAAATCATGCAAAGTCTCACTGGAGGGAGAAGTCTTTGATTAGAATAGAACAGTTCTTTATCAGGAAATTTTAAATCTGAGGTAAAGTCTATCAAAAGCTGCAAATTTGCCCCAACCTAGTTAAAATATTGATTGGACTGAGGCGAACCAGTGCTAATACAACAGGAAAGAACAGTTTCTTTCAGGAGAAAACATCAACTTCAATCTCTCCACTCTTTCTATATACAATACTTGTTATGGAATTAAAAACTTTCAGGTATGCAAAGCTGCAGGAAAATGTCATTTATAATCAAGACAACCTTCAGCCAATAGAAGCATACCTACTGATGATAAAGCTTTGGAATTAATAGATATGAATGTTAACCTTCATAAATATGTTAAAGTAGAGACTAGAGTCAGAACCGACCCATAGCTGACCCTCCAGCGGGTTTTCAAAGAGGGAGATTAGGAGGAGATTGCCCATTCTTCTCCCGCGGGGCAGCTAGTGGCCTCAAACCACATGCCTTCATGATTGTGTGTGTGTGTGTGTGTGTGTGTATATATATGTATATGTATGTATATATATATATAATCATAAAAGTGAGATCCTACATTATTTGTCCTTTGATTGTTGGGGTGGTGCAGGAAGCCAGGCTGGAAGGCAGAATGAAATAAACTCAAACCATCCAAAGACAAGGCTTTTTTGTGTCTAACTATTTCACTTTGCATGTTTGCAAAGTTTATATATATCATGGTATGCCCCAGGATTAATTTGTCTTTAAGTATTATTCCATTGTGTAAGTACACACACACACACACACACACACACACACACACACACTTCTAAGCCATGATCATCTTAGGTGTACCTCAGAGATAGTGTAGGCTCTAGTACAGATCACCACACAAAGCAAATTTTGCAATAAGGTGAATGACATATTTTTTTTATCCCAATGGATATAAAAGTTGTATTTACACAATACTGTAGCCTATTAATGATGTCTCTCTGGAGACTAAGGTGCATCTGATACAGGCCATGGTCTTTGCTATCACTTGTTATGCATCAGAGAGTTGGACAATGACCAAGGAGGATAGAAGGAGAATTGATGCCTTTGAGCTGTGGTGCTGGAGAAGAGAATTGAGAGTACCATGGACTGCTAGGAAAACAAACAGATTCATCCTGGAAAGGGTTAAACTGGGTGGCTCTCTGGAGGCAAGGATTCTGAGGCTCCGTCTAACATACTTTGGACATGTTGTAAGAAGAGACCGGTCCTTGGAGAAGGACGTCATGCTTGGGACGGTTGAGGGACTGCGCAGGAGGTGAAGGCCCTCTAAGAGGTGGATTGATTCAGTGACTGGGGTAATCGATACGGGAGTGTCAGAGACAGCGCGATTGGCACAAGACAGAGTTTAGGGCTGTTGTACATAGGGTCGCTATGAGTCGCAAGTGACTCAATGGCACATAACAACAACAGTTAAGTGTGCAACAGCATTATGGAAAAGTCTGACACACTGTGAGAATTTCTAATATTCCTAATAAATTAAACCTAGAAATTAACCCAGAAAACAGGCTGATACTCATATGAACCTTTTGGCAAACCGTTTTCTCTTTATCCTTGTTTAATCAATTCCCTTCTCACAATGTTCACCTTTCTAAAGCAGAAAGAAAAGTTGTTGTTGTTGTTGTTATGTGCCGTCGAGTCGTTTCCGACTCATAGCGACCCTATGCACAACAGCCCTAAACCCTGCTCTATCCTGTGCCAACCACACTGCCTCTGACACACCCATCCCGATTACCCCAGTCACTGAATCGATCCATCTCATAGAGGGTCTTCCCCTCCTGTGCCGTCCCTCCACCCTCCCAAGCATGATGTCCCTCTCCAAGGACCCATCCCTCCTGGCAACATGTCCAAAGTATGTCAGACGAAGCCCCAGAATCCTTGCCTCCAAGGAGTAGCTTGGTTTAATCCTCTCCAAGATGAATCTGTTTGTTTTCCTGGCAGTCCATGGTACATTCAGTACCCTTCTCCAGCACCACAGCTCAAAAGCATCCACTCTCCTTCTGTCCTCCCTAGTCATTGTCCAACTCTCTGATGGATAACAAGCGATTGCAAAGACCATGGCCTGTATCAGGCGCACCTTAGTCTCCAGAGAGACATTGTTGCTCCTGAGTACCTTTGAGAGGTCCCTAACAGCAGACTTTCCCATCGCGATACGCTTTTTGATTTCCTGACTGCTGGTGCCAAGAGTGTTGACTGTGGAGCCGAGCAAACTGAAGCTGTGAACAATCTCAATCTCTTCGTCATCCATCCTGACGCTGCCAATTGGTCCAGTGGCAAGAATCTTTGTCTTCTTGACATTGAGCCTCAGTCCATACTGAAGGCTGCAGTCCTTGACCCTTCGCAGCAAGTGCATGAGGTCCTCCTCAGTTTCAGCAAGCAGGGTTGTGTCATCTGCATAACGGAGATTGTTAATAGATCTTCCACCAATCCTGATGCCACAATTCTCCTCATAGAGCCCAGGTTCTCGGATAATCTGCTCTGCATACATGTTGAAAAGGTATGGAGACAGGATGCATCCCTGGCGTACACCCTTCCCAATTTTGAACCATGCAGTGTTGCCCTGCTCTGTTCTGACTACTGCCTCTTGTTCCAAGTATAGGTTTCGTATTAGCACAATTAAATGTTCTGGGATTCCCATTCTTCTCAGAGTCAGCCACAGTTTGTTATGATCCACACAGTCAAATGCCTTTGCCTAATCAATGAAACACAGATAGTATTCAAGGAATTTAACTAAGGTGTAAGTACATTCATAGAAAATCATAGTTTTTCTCTAGCTATCCTTGCTAAAGAGCAAGGATGTGTCACTTTGAATTAAGGACTAAGGTGTGCCTGACCCAAGCATGGTGTTTTCAATCACCTCACATGCACATGAAAGCTGAACAATGAATAAACATGAGCAAAGAAGAACTGCTGTCTCTGAATTGTGATGTTAACGGAGAATACTAGTATACTATACTACCAGAGAAAAACAAATATGTGTTGGAAGAAGTGTAGACAGACTTCTCAGAAGTACGATGATGAGACTTTATGTCTTACATATTTGGGCATATTAAAGGGACCAGTTCCTGGAGGAGAAAAAAAAAACAAACCACGTTTGGTAAAGTAGAAGGTCAGCAAAAAAAAGAGGAAGCCTCTCAATGAAATACATGAATACAGTGAACTCTAGCATATTAATGTTTCTGAGGATTGTCACATGACAAAATAAGTTTGCTTCTTTTGTACATTGGGTCACCATATGTGAGAATCCACTCAGTGGATTATAAAAGCAGCTATGTTCATTCTAGAACTTTATTTACAGGCACAGAAAGGGGTCTACATGCTGAGAAATGAACAAATGCTGAAAAGAAAATAAACTAGCAGGAAAATGTTACTGCTGTTAGATGCTGTCAAGGCTATTTCAATTCACAGCCAGTCATATGACAGCCTAAAACTGCTTTATAGAGTTTTCTAGGCCTAGTGGAAAGAAGCTGCACTGCGATCCCAAAGGCATGAGGTTTGAGGCCACCAGCTGCTCCATAGTAGAAGGACGGGAAACTTCCTCCCGTGTGATTAAATGCCTCTGAAAATCCAGTGAAAACCCAGTGAATTATGGGTCAGTTCTGACTCTATGGTACAAAACAAGAACAATCTATACAGAAACAAACTGCCAAGCCTTTCCTCTGTGTAATCAATAGGTAAGTTCAAATCACCAACTTCTCAGCATCTGAGGACCTGACTATTACACACCAGGGTTCCTTCACAGATAGTAGTTCTCATTATTTGAGAACAATAACCCACTGAATATATTTAAAACTCGGATAACGTGAAGCGTTTCCTCTGAAAATATTTGGGAAAATAATTTATGAGAGTGAAGAGAAAAGTAGGCTTTACGGGTTTAAAGAATCAAGGCAAGATGAGAATTATAAATAATACCTTTAAGAGTTTGTTAAAGTCAGTTGGGAGGAGTCAGAAAACAAAAATCACAGGTGTGGCATGAAGTCCCTTTATCGTCAGGTTAAGGAAGAACTTAATACTTCACCCGATAAAACTTACAGAACTGTGTCTCAAATTCTGAACTTGAGTCTAACAATGTGGGTTACTTCCAGCTTCACTACTACCAAATTTTTAGGTATGCTGAACTTCAGTTTCCTTTTATATAATTCAGAATAATATTATCACCTGCTATTATTTTGAGATTAAATAAGATTAAAGCATATAAGCACTGCTGTAATTCCTTAAATACAGTAAGAGATCAAGCTATTATCTTTACAGCGTGTATTTTCATCCTGAAATTTTTATTTTGGGGGGAGGAATCCCACCTTCTATATCATTCTCTGAACTTGTTTCACTGAAGCTTTTCCATCGCTCTTTTGCTCTTGAGAGGAAGATTTCATAAAGTTCTGGGGGGAAAAAGAAAATATTCATAAATAAATAAGAAAAATATGTTCATATTATTAACATTTTACTCTTAACCTATATAGAGGTCAGATATCCTTAATGTGGTAAGCATGAAAAAATGTGGCAAACAGCTTTACCAAAATTGTTCATCACACAACCAGAAACAAAAACACTGCAGAACTGTCATGCAGGTAGTTGTATAGAGAATGTAAGGACAAAGCAGAAAGAGATGCTGCTGTCAAAGAAGCTTTGCTGTGGTGCAGCAGAGACCGACTTCAGGAATCAGTGAAACCTAGATTCAAATTCTAGCGATGCCTGTGAAACTCTGGAAAAGTTACTTAACTGGAATTCAGCTTTCCTTTTCTGTAAAGTGGAGAAAAACACTTGCTTCATGGGGTTACTGATAAGTAAACAAAATAATTATGTAAAGCTTTTGGCACCAAAAAGGCCTTGATAAACACTAGTTCTGCTTCCTTTCATTCCTAAAACTAGTTTCTCCATTATAATACTGCAATAGAAACTGACAGACCTATATTTGGCACAGATTTGACCAAAGGATCCACATATCAAAATCTATACTTTTACCTTTAATTTAACAGCCCAATTATTTTTTAAACTACTACTGTTGCACATGCAGTATCTCATCAATATAAACAAAAGAAAGTTTTAAAAAATTCTCAATTTTAATTATCTTTAGTTTCTAAATAACCATTGTTAATGACAAAAAAATTTACAAATTCAATGATAAAAGTCAATAAAATAATTTCCGTTCTAAATATTACCATTTATATGTTGCCTGTAAGTATCAAAAAAATGATTTGTTCCAATTTCTTAAAATTAATTTTCTTTTTTCATTTTATTTAAAAAATTCAAATGGTTAAGGGAGCTCTGGTGGCCTAGTGGCAGAAAGCTGCACTGCAATCCCAGAGGTACACGGTTCAAATCCACCAGATGGCTCTGCTGGAGAAGGAGGGGCAATTTCCTCTGTGCCAGTCAGATCTTATTTGACAGTACACACACACACAAATTAGTAAAATTAAAAAAAAAATTCAAATAGTACAAAAAAAGTAGAATGAAAATAAAATTTCTATCTCATGCTTCAGATACAACTATTTTACTAGGAATTTCAGGAACACTATCTTAGATGAAAATATGTATGCACAAACAAGTCCTCTTTTATATAGAAACAAAGTGGCAACATATTACATGCATTAGCAGTGGCTTAGTGGTAAAGGTTGGACTGCCAACCCAAAGGCACACAGTTTGAATCCACAAGCTGCTCTATAGGAGAGGTGATTGCCCCTTGTGCAATTTACAACCTCTGAAAACCTTCCGGAGAGTCAGCTATGAGTTGGTTCTGATTCAACAGTACAGAATAATAACAATATGCATCTTGCTTTGTTATACTTGAGACTGTTTTAGATCAGTAGATATAAAACTGCTTAATTTTTTAACAACTGCAGTTTCCAATGTATGATGATAATATTATGACAAGTATTATATATATTGCCAAAATATTGATGACTATAACATATAGCTGACTAGACACACGTATTGAAAATGGACTTACTACTCTGATCTCCTTTCTACTTACTTTTAAATTCTACTAAGTGTTTGGAAAGAGAGAACTAAAAAATAATTTCATATTTACAATTTCCATTATTTGTGTTTAACTCCAACAAAGATTTGAAAGAAAACAGATATAAATGTAAAAATTACATTTATATATGATGAGTTTGGGGTTCAAAAAAATCAAACTCAAACTCATTGCTATCGAGCCAGAGCTGACTCCCAGTTGACTCTTCAATCGGTTTTTTTGAAGTGATGAACTGCATGGGAGTAGACTGCCCATCTTTCTTTTGCAGAGCTGCTAGTGGATCTCAACCACCAGAATTGCCACGTCTCGGTTATCAGTGCAAATTCACATGGATTATACCACCAAAGCTTCTTATTTTGGGGTTCAACAAACAACTCATTGTGTTGAGCTGGAACCAACTCACAGGTGGCCATCTAGCAGAATTTAGAGGCTCAAATCACACAGAAGGAGACTGCTAATCTTTTTCTCATGGAACAGGTGGTAGATTTGGGCCCTCTGCCTTTGGGTTGGCTGCACAATTTCTTGCCCATGAGGCTACTACAGCATTCTATGTTCAGGTTAGCAGTTGTCAAACTGACATCTGTATGTTCTGATTTCAAAATAGTTATAAGTCTGGTCTCATTTCACTATTCTACTCAAACTAAAAATTAGTTGAAGAGAAAAGGCAAGACAGATAGATTTATCACTTTTAGAAGTCACAAAATTTATCCAGTAATTACGATGTGGTATTGCATCTATAAATACCAGAGGATCTCTCTCCAAACAAGACATATAACAAGACCTATATCCCAGTTCAATTCATGTTTGGTTCCTTTATGCCCTTTTATTTACAACTTACCAAACAGAACAGATGGTACCTTGAATTTGAACACAGAATACTTTGATTTGGGGGCATGTTTTACTTTCTGATTTTTTTATAATGATTGTACACACAGCAAATTTCACTTTCATTATAAATTTATACTAACATTAATAACTGTTAAAACAATCCTCTGAGATAGTTAATAACACTATTCCTATTTTACAGATGAAGAAAAGGAAGATTTGTACATGTTAAGTAATTTGCCCAAGGTCACAAGACTAATACCAAGTAAAACTGAACCAAATACCATGTGGAATCAAAGTGGAACCAAGATCTGAATCACATCTGCCTGACTTTAAGAGTCCTTATTTTCAGAGAAGTATATTGAATACCCCATGTCAGATAAATAAACAAATAAATATGTCTTGGAAAAAGTTCAATCAGAATGCTCTTTGAAGATAAAGATGACAAAGCTTTGTCTCACAAACTGGAAATTTTGCTTGGAGAGGCTAGTCTTTGGAGAAGGACATGATGCTTGAAAAGGGGGAGGGGTCAGCAAAAGAGAGGAAGGCTGTCCATGAGATGGACTGGCAAAGTGACTGAAGCAATGGGTTCAAGTAAGTGAGTGTATCAGAGATGGTGAGGATGGCACAGGATAGAACAGGATTCAGATCTGTTGTTCATAGGGTCATTATGAGTTATACTCAATTCAATGGCTCTTAACAACAATTTTAGTTACAACTCTCTACTGGTTATAAATTTCATGATTTAAACAAATAGAACAGAGAAAACATCAAACTATTCAAGCCATTAGAAACTACACACTATTTAAAAAACTTCCCCCTATATTTATCATCCTTCCCAACACTAACAAAATGAAAATCCATTCCATTCCTGAACACATAAATATCCAATGCCTTGGAATTTCCTGAGTGATTGAAATGCTACTCCAAGAGGGCTTCCAAATGGCATGTAATAGCTGATACTAACAAGGTGACTCACAGTGTGAATATTATTTATAGTTGTAAAGTAAAAGAATATAACAAAACTTTTAAGCATAATATGAAATACAGCAACTTACTAAATTGTATCACTGTAAAAATATTTTAAAAAGATTTTATACCTATTTAGATTATGGCTTTAAAAGAAATAAATTATAATTGGGATACACAGATTAAAGATTATAGGGTAATTGTGAGGTTTCTTGCTATTTCTAAATTATTTTCCATCATATCCTATATGGGTAATTAATTTTAATTTTTTTTACATATGAAGGGTCAAAATTAATACTATTATATTGTTTTATTTACTTTTATTAGAGTGAAAATTTACAAATTAATACCTTGATGGTGTTTTAACATGTATATGTCTTTGATTTATGACAAGGGAAAGAATTCAATAAATTACAATAGAATACAATATAGTTATAATACATATGATGTAGCATTATATATATTATCATGAAGGAGTCCAAGACAGTATAGCATGAAAAAAAGCAAGCTTCAGAGTAATATTCTAAATATAAATTCCTTTCTGTAAGGAAAAAAAAAGGAGGGAAAAAACCCTCAAAAAGTACACATATATTCTTATGTCTATAGCAAAAAAAATACCTAAAGTATAATTGAAAGTGGGACAGAAGAGGGGACAAGATTTTCTGTCCATAATTTACTATTACTTGAATTTTTTTCAATAAATTTAAGGGTAAAATTTTAGAAGTAATAAGAACACTGTATTGTTCCACTATTATTTCGGAGCCCTGAAGTCTTTCTGTTGTGCCAGTATGAAGCATTATCATTACCAGTCAGAACTTCAACGCCTTTTATGATTAACTATTTTATATTTTCCCATTCAATAACCTAAATTTACCTAATTTTCTAAAAACTTCATCAAAACTATTATATGTTTTACTCCTTCAAGACTAAATCTTTTTCTGACTTAAAATGTTTTAATTAAACAAACAAAAAAAGAATCCAGCTGGACAGACAGGGCAGAGAAGCAGGAAAAGCAGCTCCTTGTCTTCCCCAATATTTGTTTCTTATGGGTAAAAAGAGAAACTTTTTCACAGCTAGACTAATTTTATTTTTCCTTGTATATACTTATTCATTCTGTGCTATCTAAAATTCCCAGAAGTTTGTTTGGGTGTTTTAAAGTCCTTACACTGAAATGGTACTGACCTGAGCTCAGAGCCAACTCATCTGCAGCTAACCACCACAACAGCATAGTATTTAGAAGTTAGGAATATTATTGATAGTTGTAAAGTAAAAGAAAACCACAAAATTTTTAAGCATAGCATGAAATACAGTAACTTACTAAACTGTATGAGGTTTTAGAGAGAGGAAAAATGAAGCATGCTCTTAAAATGACATTGAAAATGGCTATGCCTTTTTCAGTGGCCTATCTACTAATCTGCTTTGTAATTCTGGAGATGGCTATTTGTAGTGTGGGAGTAACTGAACATAGAATACAAACCAGGAGTGATATTTAGTTCATTTCCTACAGCTAGACTCCAAACTTTCCCACGAACACTAGGGGGCAATCCCTGCCACCACAATTCTCGAACTCTTCTTGTACTACGCCTAGAATTAAAGGGGGAGAAAAAAGGAGAAAGTTACTATTTATATAAAAAATATTAGTTGCATGATGGTTTACCTAGTCTATGGCCAAGTGACTGAATGAGCTCTAAGAACAAAAATAAGTATGTTATGCAGTCTTTCCCTAGTTTATGCTTGCAGGCAACAAAACCCTACAAATGTATGTCGTGGCTGCATGCCTTTCAGTAGACTGCTACTTATAGTGACTCTGTAAGACAGAGCAGAAATGCCCCAGAGGACTAGCTATGCTAATCTTTATAGCAGGAAGCACCATTATCTTTGTTCCAAGAAGCAGATAGTGGGTTTGAACTGCTGACATTTTGGTTCTTATCTGAATGCTTAACCAGTGCACTACTTGGATTCCTTTACAAATATATACTCAAACCAAGCACATTGTTACTAAGTTGACTCCAAACCATGGGAGCTAATGTGATAAGGGCTGAACTGCCCCTGAGTGTTTCCAAAGCTATAAATTTTTACAGAAGCAGACTGACACATCTTTGTCTCACAGAGGCTGGTGGGTTCTAACTGCCAACCTTTCATCAGCAATCAAATGTTTTAACCATTGCACTATCAGGTATATTACTCTTTTACAAATATATAGTACCCCCAAAAGACAACAGTAATTTAAAAGTGGCTGCCTTCTTCAGTTTCCACTTAGAATAAGGACACAATAAGAAGTATGTGGACAATTATTTAAAGCAGGGAAGGGACATAAAAAGTGTTGCCAATTCAAAATCAAAAACAAAGTCACAAGGTATTTACACGAGTAAGGTCCTAGTCACTGAGAAGCAGTGTAGTCTGCTAAGAGTGTGGGCTGTAGAGTCAGACAGACTTGAGTTCAAATCTGGTTGTACCACTCGCTAACTGTATATAACCTTGGGCAAATAAATCACTTAACTTCACTGATTTCAAACTTCCCCAGAAGATAAATGCAGATAAAACTTCAAATACCTCATAATGGCTGGGCAAATCAAGTAAGATTACTTACATAAAGAATCTCTTCTTTGGTATACTGCACTATTTTTGAACAAATTCCCAATACCTATACTACACTAAGAATTGCAGAAGTTAACTCCAATCTAAAGAGAATATAGTCATGTATAAAAATATTACCTAAACTTATGAGGCAAAGTAAGGCAAGTGCTTTTTAGTCTGAAAGCATGGTGGGACATTTTCAGAAAGATCCTCTATACAGTGTTTTTGATGATGAGAGAGGTTTCTAAAACTCATTTTAATTATTTTAAAAAAAACATATGTTACAATATTTACATTGATGTTTTTTCCAAAATTTTCTATTATATCAATAGAATATCTAATAATTGATGATACATGAAAATATGCTAAGTGATGAGATTTTAAAAGTTTCATGAATCAAGTAGCATTTCAGATGGATTACAAAGAATGAGTAAGGTTTGGCAGGTCTAAATATTGGTCAGTAAGGGAGGCAGGTGTTAGAGACTGAGGGACTTAAAAAAACAAGGTCATGGAGATAAGCATGGAAATGCTCAGACATTATTAATAGTATAATTTAGTCTAATTATAAGATATATAATGGGAAGTAATGAGAATATAGAACTGGAAACATGAGATCTTTGAAGGCAAACTGGAATTCAGGAAAAATCATCTTACTTACATTACTTCCCAATTGGGTAGGATTTCATTGATCCAAATTACCATTGCACTTGCAATATTTTCTTCCTGCTTAAATCGTTCTTTCATTATTTTTTTTCTTTTATGTGCTTCTTTAATTTCTGTTTTAAACAAGTAAGAATTATTTCAATACAAATGCAACAGATCAAAATTCCCTTCTAACTTTGCAAAAAAATCATTTAAAAACATAATAGCAGTAACAAGGAAAGGAAGGAGGAGAGGGAGTTAGAAAATAAAGAAAATTATGTTGGTTAACAGAATTTTTAAACACTATCTCTTTTTATGCTACAGAAATACATGGAACAAAGGCATAAAAGCCCTATAAGGTAGATTACTATAGTACAAATTTTTATTTTTGCTTAATCTATGTATGAAATGAAATTTGTCATTACCTTTGTGAAAAATAAACAGCCATGAGCAACTAATACAATTTTTATACAAACTGCTTATGAATTTTCAGACATAAAACCATATGACATTAAAAGACACTTTTACCAATGACACTGTTCTCACTAGCCCTTTTTTAGTATTTTTAGTATTTCATTTTGCCAATCATACTGAAATACCCTCGCAACACATACACAACACCATTTCCAGAGTTATCAGAAGTGATGAATTTTAAGTGAGAGATAGCTTCCTTAAATACAAGAAAAATAAGTGAATTATGAGGCAACGGTCATATAATGCAAGAAGAACATGGAAACTTTAGGGATCAGCAATCCAAAATATTTTCAGCTTGGGTATTTCACATATGCCTTGTAAACTAGTCAAGTTGTTGGCCAAGCAAACAGCTCTACTTTCTTTTATTTGTATTAGGTGTTCAGATTCCATGTAAGAGTTCTTAGAAGAGGTTTCTACTCTTTTAAAAATGTGTGGTAGGACGGGTTGAAAGCCATTCACACAGTGCACCTGCCTTCACATGTTACAGATGAGGAAATATTGGGCCTATTTAGAGTATTTCATTCAGGTAGTGTCAAACAGGATTAAATCTGTGGTCTTCTGATTTTTCAATTTCATGTTTTCTCTTTCAGTTCATGAATGTGTGGTCAATTTCAGACTGCTAAATTTGAAAAAATCCTTCTCTTTGGCGTTAGCTAAAATATGGTGTGTATATCAGGAGTTCTACAGGACACATCACCTTCCCTTCAGAGACAGTACAAGTAAACTTAAGAGACAATGGACACAGGGAAACAGAAAAAAAAATCTCTCTGACAAGCTGTCAAGTCATGGGTCAGACAATGGGACATTAATTCTGAAGGCATTTGGTAGAAGTGAAGTGGTATCCTGCTGGAGGGTGGAGCTGGGTAAGGGCAGGGACTACACTGTAACTAATGGTCAACTCCAAAATGAGGGATTTATCTTTCATTACTCCACAAATTGCTGTCTGTCAGATACTCCTCTAAGTCTAAATATTCAGATTAAGACAGACTAGAAAGAAGGATTGGCCATCCACTTCTGAAATGGCAGGCCTCTGAAAACCCTATGTACAAAGGTCAACACTCTTTGCACCAGTAGCCAGGAAATAAAAAAACATATTGCGATGGGAAAGTCTGCGGTTAGGGACCTCTCTAAAGTACTCAAGAGCAATGGTGTCTCTCTGGAGACTAAGGTGCGCCTGATACAGGCCATGGTTTTTGCAATCACTTGTTATGCATCAGAGAGTTGGACAATGACTAGAGAGGATAGAAGGAGAATTGACGCCTTTGAGCTGTGGTGCTAGAGAAGAGTACTGAATGTACTATGGACTGCCAAGAAAACAAATAGATTCATCCTAGAAAGGGTTAAACCAGGCTGCTCCTTGGAGGCAAGGATTCTGGGGCTTCGCCTGACATACTTTGGACATGTTGTTAAGAAGAGACAGGTCTTTGGAGAGGGACATCATGCTGGGCAGAGTGGAGGGACAGTGCAGGAGGGGAAGACCCTCTATGAGGTAGATTGATTCAGTGACTGGGGTAATCGGGATGGGTGTGTCAGAGGCAATGAGATTGGCACAGGATAGAGCAGGGTTTAGGGCTGTTGTACATAGGGTCGCTATGAGTCACAAACGACTCGACAGCACATAACAACAACATATCTGAATAACTGTTGTATTGGCAGGTCTTCCTTGTATATGTACAGATAACATCCTATCACAACACAGCACCTCAGGATAGAATTTGAAATTCTCTTTTTACCTATGAGTGAAACACCATTCTTTTTCCATATTTCATTACTGGCATGGTATACATATGTGATTGTCTGATTCAAAGTGGCCAATGCCAGTCCATCTCATCTCACTAATGCCTGGTATGTCGATGTTTAAAATTAAGAAAGGTATACATGAGGATTGTATCCTCTCTCCATACCTATTCAATATGTATGCTGAGCAAGTTATTTAAGAATCTAGATATTATGAACAAGAATGTGGCATCAGGATTGGAGGATAACTCATCAACAACCTGCATTATATAGATGACACAACCTTGCTTGCTAAAAGTGAAGAGGACTTGAAGCATTTGCTGCACAAAATCGAAGACTACAGCCTTCAATATGGATTACATCTCAAGGTCAAGAAAGCAAAAATTCTCACCACTGGACCAATAGGCACTATCTTAATAGATGGTGAAAAGATTGAAACTGTAAACAACAATTTTATCTTACATAAGCCACAATGTACAGTCAGGAGATTAGGAGACATATTGCACTGCAATCAGGGCAATCTCTAAATTACTGAGGAGCAATGATATCAGTTTGAAGGGTGTGGTGCACCTGATTTAAACCATGTTCTTTTTCCAATCATTTGCTATGCTTCTGAGAGCTGGACAATGTATTAAGATGACAGAAGAACTGATGCTTTTGTATTGAAAAACAAGGAATTCATGCAGTATTATTCAAAATGGGTGACCCTGGAGGACATTATGCTGAGTGAAATATCTCAGTCGCAAAAGAACAAATACTGCATGGTGTCACTGCTGTAAAATGGGACTGATATCAGGGTTGTGGTAAGACTGAGAAAAACTGGATAAACTGTGTGCACTGCATGTTCACAGGGCTGCTATGAGTTGTGCTTGAATCAATGGAACCAAAGAACATCTATTAGGCTATGCTTTTAAGATCTTTTTATAAGCAATTAGCTTACCTAATAATCAAATGGCAAGTCAATATTGAGATAAAATAAAATTTACTGGAGATATTAGAAATATTTTAAAAACTATATTTAGTTGTCATCATTGTTCAATACCATCAAGTCACCTACAACCCATAGTAACCCTTTGGACAAGAGATTTTAAACACTATATATCAAAATCGAAAGACAATGATGCATAGGGAGAATCTGCTGTCAAGGATCTCTCCAAAGTGCTAAAGAGCCACAAAGTCAATTTAAGGATGAACCTGATCATGGTCTTCTCAGTTATTTGCTGTGCACCTTCAAGTTAGGTATTGACTTAAGGATGACAAAATAAAAATCAATGCCTTTTGTAGTGTTGTAGAAGAGTCCTGAATATCCTATGAAGTGGCAAAAGAAATATCTTGGAGAACATGCAATTATGGTGCCTTTTGGAGGCAAGGATGATATCTCATAGACTTCGGGCAGTTCTTAGAAAAAGGCATCATCCTTGGAAAAGTCTATGATCAGCAAAAAAAGAAGATCCACAACAAGATCGAATGACACAGTGACCGTAACAATGGGCTCAAATATCAGAGATGAGGAGGATGGCACAGGATAAGGCAAGATTTAGATCTGTTTTTCATAGCATTTCTATGTTGTAGTAGACTTTGATAGCATATAAAAACAACATATAGTAAAATAATATTTAAATTATAGGCTCTTTAGTATAGAAATTCATCTATAAAACAATGTACAGGACACAACTATACTATTATAATAATTTGATACACTTAAGTGAATGAAAAAAATTGGTATTAAGACAAAAATATAAAGATGTAATTATGAAATTTTCTAACAATATTTATAATGAAATAACAACAGTTCCTAAGCAAATACTATTACATTATCCTTATGCTGCTTTTTTTTTTCAATTTATAGAGAAAATGACTGAATAAATGTGAAGATGCACACATTGTAGACTGGGTATACATCATGCCTGGAAAAATGATACAACAGGGACTCTGGACAGCCCTTAGACCCTGTAAGCCAAAAAAGGAAATTATAATTTCAAATCGTATTTTCACAGCTATATAAAAGTTAACTTAAAATGTTAAGAAATTTTCAAAGGTCGAAACACCACAAAACAAGTGAAATTAATAGATAATATCTTCATTTACAGATTCAGAAAATATGTGTCCAAGATATGGAAGAAATTGGAAGTCCCTCAAGGACAGTGTGTTCCTTTCTTGAAATACCAGTTTTATATAAGTGCATGCATAAAAATGATGATCCTGGAATTACATTTTATATCCCTTTAAGAACCAATGAAGTTAAGAAAATTTTCATTTTAAAACTTAGTAGAGAAAAATAAGAATTCAGCATTATCTTAAAGCACATTTGATCCATGACAGCATGAGTTTTCACATCAAAATAAACCAATATGGAGTCAGTAAATTAGCTGTATCATTTGGAGTTAATGTTATACCTCGTTTTTTAGCCTCAGCTACCATCTCATCATATTCTTGTCTGTGACGTATAGCTTCTTCCACGGATTTGGCAGGAAGATTTCTGAAAAAGAACATTATTTAATCCAATTCAATTATTAAAAGATTAATTTTTAAAATTACTACTTCCTTTTTATAACCATTTTCAAAGAGAAAAAGAATTCAATACAGACCAGCACAATAAAAAAATGTTTTAAAAAGTCCTTGGTTGTTATGTTTCACACATACATCCTAACCAAAAGAACTAAAGATCCTTAAAAAAGAAATGGAGCAGTACATTCACAGGAGACTGACAGAAATTCAAGCTCAATTCAGAACAAGATACAGAACAAAGGATTATCATTGCAGAAGTTAATGGATGCTGACTAAAAGCCGAGAATATCAGAAAGATGTTTACTTGTGTTTTATTGGCTACGCAAAGGCATTCAACGATGTGGATCATAGTAAATGAAGAATAACATTGCAAAGAATAAAAACCCCAAAACATTTAATTTTTCATATTGAACTTGTGTATGAACATAAAAGCAGTTATTCAAATAGAACAAAGAAAGGTTTGTGTCAGGATTGTATCCTTTCACCGCATCTCTTCAATCTACATACTAAGTGAATAATTTGAGAATCTGGACTACATGAAGGAGAATGTGCCATCATGACTGGAGGATGACTCCTCAACAACCTCTTTACAAATGTGTAACACCAAGCTTGAATTTTGTTGCTGTTGTTTTGTTTACTGTGGTAAAATATACCCAAAAAAAATTTAACCCCGTGGCATTACATTATCATCCTTTCCATGTGACATAACCATTACCAACTATTTGCTTCCTAAATTTCATTACTCATTACTTCAAATAAAGCATCCTTTTTTTTTTTTTTGGTTAAAAAACCCCTTAAACTCACTGCCATCAAGACAGAAGTGATTCACAGCTGACGCTCCACAGGGCTTCTGAGGCTCTAAATTGCATGGGAGGAAATAGGAGGAAACTGTCCATCCTTCTCCCTCAGGGTCACTGGTAGAATAGGCAGAAGGACATAGCCTTTGGGGTAGTAGTGTAGCTCCCCATCAGCTATTCCACCAGAGTCCCCTTCCCCAAGTTTACCACTGAACTAACTTCTGTCTCTATGTGTCTGTTTTATAGATATTTTGTATAAATTTGATCATGCAGTATTAATCCCTTTGTGTCTGGTTTATGTCACTTATTCATGTCATAGTATGTACATGGAAATCTTTGATAGGTGGAATTCAATATTCTGCCTTCTTTTTTTCAGTTTCAAAAGTATTCTGCCTTTGACAAAGTACAATATTACTACCTTGTCTATCACCACCTATTAATGAAAAAATGTATGTGTTCCTTCTTTGAGAGGTTGCTGCCTTATAGAAGTACTGGCTTTTACAGATTTACTGCATCAGAATTTCATTTTTCTTTGTTGCAATAATATTCTATTGAATATACTGGATTCTATTTTATATTTGGGAGTTCCAGTGCCCTAGTGGTAAGGAGTAGCACTGCCAAACCCGAAAGAATGTAGTTCAAATCCCCCCAGGTGTCCCACAGGAGAAATATGGGTAACCTTTTCTCATACAATTTACTGCCTCTGAAAACCCCCAAAGGGTCAGCTAAGGGTCAATTCCAACTCGACAGCTATAACAACAAAACCAACATAATGGATTTACTTTCTCTGTTATTCTGTGGATGGACCCTTGTGTTTTTTCCACATTTTGGAATTTATGAATTTATGAATAATGCTAGAATACACACTTGAGTACCAAAAGATGACTGGGAAAGGAGGGATCAGCTATTGGTCATAATGACTGGGGGTTAGGGGCACAAATGACCAACAGAAGGAATACAAGAATTCTATGTTGCTACAGATTTCTCAGACATTCAGTGAATTACAAGAGAATATTATACACAACTTTCTACCAATCAATTAAATTATGCAGATGGAATGAGAACAAGGAAAAATGTTCTTAACAGTTACAGTGTCATTTTTGCAACTAGTCATGTGGGCATAAATGGTGTTGGTGCTACCTTCTTCTACCAGTATTTCCTTTGCATTCAGTACGCCTCTCGTCTGGGTATGATTCTTTGTGTAATGGGATGACTCAAACCTTTATCCCCTGAGGTTTTGGGTCATTAACTGTCATGTCAGAAGAAGTGAGGTTTCCACTGTTTCTACCCACAGGAAATGGTAGTACAAAGAGAGGTTTACTCTCTTGTAGTCCAGACATACTCTTCTTTACTTGCACTATGTATTATCAATCCAATTTCCCCTTGATAATTAGAATCAGTCATACCAAAGAATACTGCTTTCTTCAGTCAAGTGATCATAAAGAATGCCACTGATGTGAAGAGGGAGACAGAAGGTAATGTGATTAAAGACCATGACACTTATTTGTATGTTCACATGCTGGCTCAAACCTGATCTTGAAAATATCATTTCTATTTAATGATGGCGTGCCACCAAGCACATCCAAGTTTATGTCTGTGGGTCAGACACCTAGTTCAAGATGGGCACTCAGGCCGAATGATGACTTAGTGACTCAAAGTTAGGCATTTGGTTTCTACCAAGGCAGAATACCAAGTAAAAAACTGTTCTTAAAAAAGAGAATGGTTAGCGAGCTCTGGTGGCCTAGTGACAAGAAGGTGTACTGCAATCCTGCAATCCCAGAGGTGCACAGTTCAAATCCACCAAATGCTCTGCTGGAGAAGGAGGAACAATCTCCTTCTGTACCAGTCAGATCTGATTTGACGGTACACACATACACACAAAATAATAAAATTTAAAAAAAAGAGAATGGTTAATTGCAGAGGATGGCAAGGATTAGCTCTAAAACCAAATGGATGAGATTCACCAATAGGAGCCAAACAGAATTTCTATCCACCACATCAAGCACCATTGGGAGCTTGTTTAACAGCCAGAACCTGTTGCAGAGCCTTCTCATTTTCTGTGCCCCTACTCAAATCGAGCAGTTTTTCAAGGCACTTGTGAGTAGGCCATAAGCTTGAACATGGAGGAGATGGTGAGGATGGTGCAAAGTTTCTGTTCATAGGGTTGCAATGAATCTTAATTTGACAGCACTTAGCAAGAGAACATGTAAATGAGGGCTATCTATGTTACCTCCAAAATCCAAAGAGGCATTGTGATTCCAAATAAAACAACTTAGGCTTCATTTTAAATAGAATATCTTGACATGTCCCATACCACTGGACCTGTAGAAATGTCACTGAAGTGGAAGGTGTCAGAATTTTTATTGGATTAATTTCCCACACTTTGCATTCTAGGGCCACTGATACTACTTCCTTATTAGATCTAATTAGCATGTCATCAATATAATTGAACAATGCGATGCTCTGTGGAAGGGAAAGGAGATCAAGTTCTCTTTAGACTAAATTATATCATATTGCTGGAGTGTTGTTAATATTCTCTTGAAGCAAGGCAGTGAAAATTTATTCTTGGCCTCTTCAGATGAAGGCAAACTGCTTCTGATGATCATTTGAAACAGTATGGAGGAAAAAATCATTAGCCAAATCAATAGCTGCATACCAGGTACCAGGAGATGTACTAATCAGCTCAAGCAATGAACACACATTTGGAAAAGTAGACATTAGAGCAGCTAATTAGAGTCACTATCTGGTTAAGTTTATGATAATCAACTTTTATTCTCCACACTTCATCTGTTTTTACACAGGCCAAATAAATTATTTCAAGTTCTTGAGAGTAGTATTAATCTTTATAATTCCACCAGGAATTCAGTTTTAGTCCTGGTTTACTATTTTCTTAGGCAGAGGCAGTTCTAATGATTTCCATTTTGCTTTTCCTATACTTACTCTACATTTCAGGGATCTAATATGGGGATTCTGCCACGTTGTTGAGTATGTTTGTTACAATTGTGTATTTTCAAACTGAAGAAGTATCACTACAGGTTAGGTCTGGGGACCTACAGAACCCACTGTGAGATGGAGCTTTGCTGTGACTCCATTAATGACTCAACTCTTCCCCCCATCCCCAGTCCAACACCTGTTTTATTTAGATCTTGGTGACAGGTTTCAGGAAGAAGATTTTGCTGGTTTCTACTCTGCCCCACCCTCCCAAGAGCCTGAGCCTGCAGACAGGACTCAAAAGTCATCCTTTATGTTGAAAGGGGGCTGATCTTCAGTCCATCCTCATTAGGAATCCTGAGGGCCGTGTAGCAGATGATGGGGTATTTGGCCTTATACACCCGTGTGAAGATGTCATCCAGGAATGCCAGCTCCTTGGCCGTGAGCCCTGTTGTGTCATGAGTGAGGTCTGTAGGGTCCAGGGACATCTTGGCCACCCCTCTAGTGAAGTCTTTCCCAGTCACGGCATTGTAGGGGGCTTCACTCCCCTGAAACTCCTTTCCAGAAGTGACATCAAACACCACCCCCTTCACCACCATGTAGATGGGCTGATCTTCCTCCTCCCCATCATAGTAAGCCAGCTCCTCCTCCGAGAACAGCCGTACGGGGGACTTTGCACAGCAGGGTACAGTGTCAGCCTGGCCCAGACTGCGGAGAGCCCTGAGGCCAGTGCCAGAACCAGGGCCAAGGTTGTCAGTGGCCATAGCTGCGGTGCTGGCGTGGTGGCCGCCACGGTGAACGCCAATGACTCAACACTTACACATCCCTTCTCTGACTAGTGGACCACAGTGACATTTGGGTCTCCTAGGAGTAACATCAATTAAGAGTCAGTGTGCAATAATCCTTCAGAAGTTCAATTATTTTCCTCATTAAAGAATCACTTTTGTAAAAGGCAGTAAATCTTCCTGAGAAGAGTGGAAGAAAGACTAACAGTATACATTTTGGGCAGAGTTGTGGGGTCCTTCTCCAAGTGGACTCGGTCTCCTCTTTCTAGGTGTTAAAAGTTTGCAAACTGACTCAAATCTGAGCCTTGACTGAGAGGCTCTGTGTTTTGCCAGTTCAGGTTAGACTGCCAGTGACCTGACCTAGAATTCTTTTGCTTATATAGGCTAAATAAACATGTGGTAGATTTCCCACCTGCTACACTCCTAGAGACACCATGACTAAGTAAGCACCATCATAAACCATGAGTCAGACCAGTCTTCAACTGCGTAGTCTCTTATCCATTACAGTAACCATGCACCCATCTATTAACCATTGCTTGTCTTTGTAAAGTTTGTAGCTATGATCCCTACCATTACAGGAATTCAATAGTCCCAACACGTTGTTGTTCTTGTTGCTATCATCAAATTGGAACAAACCCATAGCTGTCCCTCCAGTGGGTTTTCAGAGACAGTAAATTACTCAGCAGGAGACTGTCTACCTTTTCCCACAGAGTAGCTGGTGGATTCAAATCGCATGCCTTTGTGTTTGCAGTGCATTTCTTACAACTAGTCCACAAAAGCTCCCTAAAGAAGATGGACATCTTACTCAATTATGGCTGGGTTGTTTTTTTTTTTTTACTATTATTGGCTATATATAGTAAGACTTTCATACAGTCTATTATACCTGAAAGGGCAAACTGAAGAGGAATAGCAACATTTCCATTGCAGAAAGAACATTTCAAGATCTGTCCTGAAACTCAAGGTGGTCAGTGATATGATAAAATCTACATGACTGATCTAAGCTATGATATTTTTTCCTTTTTTTTAATTATTAATATTAATGAAAATTTACAGAGACTTTGGATTTCAATCACTCATTGCTGCATTTTTCTCCCTGTCCACCTCTCCCCCCCCAAGTTCGCTTTTCTCTTTGAAAAGTAAAAGAAAAATTATTTCATTGTTATACAATTCCTCCCCACAGGTCCACTCCACTGTGCAGCCTTTGTTCTGGACTCCTGTTATGACAATAATACCTAATCATATATCACTTTTATTCAGTTCTCTTCCTCATCTGCTTCAATGCAGTATACATTATTGAACCCATCTTTTTTTTTATTTTATTTTATTATTTTTGTGTGCGTGTACCGTCAAATCAGATCTGACTGGTACAGGAGGAGATTGTCCCTCCTTCCCCGGCAGAGCATCTGGTGGATTCGAACCGTGCGCCTCTGGGATTGCAGTTGCAGCTCCTTGCCACTAGGCCACCAGAGCTCCCCTGAACCCATCTTTCTCAGTCTCCCCCCAACACTGATGTCAGTCCTGTTTTACAAGTGGCACTATGCAGTATTTGTCTTTTTGTGACTGTGATATTTCACTCAGCATAATGTCCTCCAAGGTCACCCAATTTGTATATTTCATGAGTTCTTTGTTTTCAATGCTGCATAGTATTCCATTGTGTGAATATACCAGAGCTTCTCTATCCATTCGTTTGTTGATAGGCACTTAGGTTGATTCCAACTCTGCTGTTGTGAACAAAGCAGTGATAAACATGGGTGTGCTTGGGTGGCACATATTTGCTTGGGTGGCAGTTATGGTTTCTTTATGGTATTTTCCCAGCAGTGGAACTGCTGGGTCAAATGGTATTTCTATTTGCAACTTTTTGAGAAAGTGCCATACTGCCTTCCACAGTGGTTGCACCATTTTGCACTCTCACCAACAAACCCTAGTCAATATTTGTTGTTTGCTGTTCTGTTAAATTTTTATATTCTTACTGGGGTGAGATGATATCTCATAGTTGTTTTGATTTGCATCTCTCTTAGAGCTAGGGATTTTGAACATTTCTTCATGTGTTTGTTTGCCATCTGAATGTCTTTTTTGGTGAAGTGTCTGTTCATATCCTGTGACCAATTAGGGCACTTCTTAAGTCTGTCTTAGATAAAATGGCAATTAGAGTAGACTTCAAGGATGCCTGCTTGTAGTAAAATATGTTTCCTCTGGTCTGGGCATTCCATGTGTGCACCTATAATAGGTATAACTTTACACACACATCTATCTATTCTAATATACCAATTTCTTAAATCTTTGGATATTTTTCACGGTATACCAAGTATGGTAATTCAACCTGATTTAGTCTAGGTCACTGTATAATTCATGCTTCAATGAATCTACTAAATAAACTCTCAGGAACTTTCCTAGCCTCTTAGCTGAAACACTGAATAAAGAATTTGGCTTATTAATGCCAAATCAATACATAGACTAAAACAAATGGTTCCTTGCACCATTATCCTACATACCATTCGCACATATATTCTCCAGGGTTCTATTTATGTGTAACAGAAAAATCAAGCCATTTTTTGGGACTGTAGCATACTTTCTAGGTCACAATTTGAACTTCATTTGTTGGGGCTCCCTGGGATTTAACTTTTGTTAAAGGTTCACAAAAATTAGTGATGGAGGCAGTTTGTGGGAATATTGAGCAATATTTTGTAAGACATCTGCCTTAAGCAATGCCTCAGACAAGGGTACAGATACCAAGAGGTAGAATATCAGACTAGCCTCATTAAGCATAACTGGGTTAAATCCAATCAAATGGGTAGGAGAGCTGGTTCTGTTGGCAGAATGGTTTTAAAGAAATTTTAAAGGTTCAGTGTATCTTGAGCTTCCTGATTATATACTCATATGTCCCAAGTTTTAGGATCACAAATCTTCTCAATCAAAGCCCTCACTTGAGCTTCATACACCATTCAAGGTTGGGATTTCAGTTGGCATTATAATTTTGCCATTCTTAACAATGACATTTTGTGCTGAGTTTTCAACAATATCAGCCTTCTTACTACAGGACATATGGCTTTCTTTCAAGGAAACTTCAAGGTCTTTTAAGTGACACTTAAGCTGTGACTCAGAAGCCCTGCATTCATTTTTCTCTTGCAACAATTCATCTAGTACACATAGGACCAATAAGAAAGTAACTTTTTTTTCTGATAAAACTGTAGAAAAGTGTTAAACATTCGACTACTCAGATCCTCACCTGTCACTAATAGCTCATCTACTGATGATGATATTTTGGGTATTAATATTGATTACCATCTCATACCATGGATTGGCAGTGCTCTTTTTACTAATCAAAGTAGAACCACCAACATACTCTGAAGACTAGTCATACTTGAGAATTTATTTAGAAAAGCCATTTTTACAATTTTGTATTTCTAGAATCACTCTCATTACTAAGAGTTTTATGCTGGGCTCTCTAGAGAGGCAAAACCAGTAAATATGGACCCACACTGCTATTAGGAGATAGCAAGTTAGCTTTGCCTCACAGCAATCCTATGTACAAAAGACTAAAACCCTGCCTTATACTGTGCTATGCTCACAATCTTTGCTGTGCTTAAGCTGACTGGTGGAGTCACTGCAGATGAGTCTACTCAATTTAAGTCACGTGGGCTGGCAAATTGACAAGTTCTTACAACAGTGTTCTATATACCTAATTTGTATAGTCTTACTCAGCCATGAGGTAAGAGTTACAAAGCCAATGCCTAGGATAACCATAATGAATAATTCACTCTAGAATAAGGATAAAGGAATGGCAGAGATTCTTTAAATAATCTATTACTAAGTCCTCCTTTCTTTCCTTGTAACATCCACACAAATGATTTTGTCTGGCTCTAGGTCCTTTTGTTATGCCCAGTAGGATACAGAGCAGAAAAAACTACAGGCCAGGAATATGACAGGAAACCCTAGGAATTTTTAATAAAGAGAGCTTTAATAAATTCAGAGAACTCAAGAACAGAAAAAAGAGATAAGCAGTCTTGCTTTAAGGAAAGAGTTTTGTTATATAACAAATCGGAGTGAATACACTGAAAAAGGTAGGTTTTATGGAGGATATAAAAAGCAGACATGCGATTAAAAAGTTGTATTGAATATTTAGATGCTCAGTCAAAAAACAAAGAAAAATTGTCCTATCATTTTAAAATAGGGAAGTGTAATAATGAAATAGAAATAAAGAGCCAAGATTTTATTGGCTCATAGAGATATCTAGAAGACCTTATATTGCTTGGACTTTGTCATGGGTTGAATTGTGTCCCCTGAAAATACATGTACGTAATTACAGAATATAGAAGGTATGTAATGATTCCCTATGATTTATAAACCAAACAGCTGTAGTGGGATTAAGAGGGCAATGCTACATCCTGTTACACCCTTAATGTCACCAGAGAGAAAAAGAGAAGGACTCAAGTCAAGGTGAAAGGGTACTTCAATATCAGCAAGAAAGAACTGACACGGATGGAGTGCGTCTTTTTGGACCCAGGATCCTGCTCATGGAAAGTCCTCGACAAAAGAAAAGACCAGAGCACATGGAGATCTCCAGGAAAACATCAGACCTACCGATGCTATAGGAAAAAAGGACTTTTGTCCAGAACTAGAAGACAGACAGACCCTTCCCATAAAGCTGACATTCTGAATTTGGACTTCTAGCCTCCTAAACTATAAGAGAATAATTTCTCTTTATTAAAGCCATCCACTTGTGGTATCTCTGTCATAAGAGCCTTGGATAACTAGGATAGACATCAACAATATATTCTTCCTTAAATACTCTGAAAACACACGCCTAGGCTTAAAATGGTTTTGTTTTCCAACAAAGCAAACATTCTCTCTAATTTCTCTTTATCTTTTAAGTGAAATAATAAGCAAAAGTAAATTTAAATTTAAAATATGAAAGTGTTTCTACTGATTTTAGAACACTTACGATGGTCGATCCTCAAGAATCAAGGCAGTGGTAGAAAGTGGCTCAAATTCAAAATTCTTACGTCTTGAAGACTGTGGTGGTGGTTTACAGGTTCTCCCTGTTCGTGCTTCATATTCCTAAAAATAAAGTTTATGCAGAGACGTTTTTACTTTTAAGTTTGGATTATAAAGATATTAGGGTAGATAACATATATAAGGGGTACATACAATTCCTGAATTTGGTAAAAAGTATTAGACTAGAAATACAATCTTTTTTCTTCAAATAATCCAAATTATGAATGAATATTATATACAAAACATTAATGTGTGTAATGAAAAAGGGAAATAGAAAAATGCTACATTAATATGGAGGTAGGTGTGTTGGAGACAATGAAATTGGCTTAAGTTAGAGCAGGGTTCATAGCTATTTTACAAAGGGGTGCTATAAGTCTCAAGTAACTCAACAGCACATAATAACAACAACATCAATGTTCAGCTCTGAAAAGTAAGTTCACATCCATATTACTGGTGAAACGTTGTTGTTGTTAAGTGCTGTCGTAGGCAACTCATAACGACCCTATGAATTAAAGACCTGAACGGCTGTATAACTTTCATCCTTTCTCCAGGTTCATAGTGTTTCCAGAGGCAAACTATTTTGGAAGTAGATGCCACTCCTGCTTCCAAGCTTGTATGAATTGGGGAGCTCCACCAAACACTGTCCACCAGGGGTAACCATTATCACATTTGACACATCAGTGTCACAGTGTTCAGCTTCACAGCAACCACGAGTTACCTCTGTACAGCAAGTGGACAGACCTGGGCTATATGACCTAAAAGAATGTTTCACCAAAAACAATTAAAAACAGGCCCAAGGGCCACGGGTTAAAGTCACCCACCTTTGGCTTGGTAGCATCACTTTCTGTCCACTAGGCCAACTGATCTCTATGCTATGGAAACCATAGAAGCAAAAAAAACTAATCTAATTTTGACACAACATCTCAGTCAAAGATGACGCTGAATCTGCAATCAAGTGCTGGTTTCGAATACTACCTAACAACAACAGTAACACTTAACAACAAACCCAGCTACTCATAATCATGCTCACTGCCTTTAAGCTAAACTGACTCATAGCTGATCCTCCAGTGGGTTTTCGGAGGCACAAATCTACCTATCTGCTTTAAAATCAACACTTTAGCAATTTATCTTATGTATGATGATGTTGTTGTTAGGTGCTTTGAATCGAGTACAACTCATAGTGATTTTATGAAGCCTAAACCCTGTCCATGGTGCAACCACTGTGGGAGGCGGTATGGCGCTTTCTCAAAAAGTTACAAATAGAGATACCATTTGACCCTGCAATTCCACTACTGGGAATATACCCCAAAGAGACGATAACTGACATCGAAGCAGATATATGAACACCCATGCTTATTCCATGTTTATTGCGGCTTTGTTCACAATAACGAGTTGGAAACAACCTAAGTGCCCACCAACAAACGAATGGATAGAGAAGCTGTGGTATATTCACACAATCGAATACTATGCTGCATTGAAAAACAAGGAATTCACACAATATTATTCAAAATGGGTGACTCTGGAGGACATTATGCTGAGTGAAGTATGTCAGTCACAAAAGGACAAATACTGCATGGTGGCACTGTTGTAAAACAGGACTGACCTTGGGGTTGGGGAGAGACTGAGAAAGATGGGTTCAATAATGTATACTGCACTGAAACAGATGAGGGAGAAAATGGTTTAAAAGGGATATGTGATTAGGCATTTTTGTCATGACAGGAGTCTAGAGCAAAGGCTACATAGTAAAGTGGGCCTGGGGGAGGGTTTGTAAAACAATGAAAGAATTTGTCTTTTACTGTTCCAAGAGGGTAGTGTACTAGGAGGGAGGGTTGGGAGGGGAGAAAAGTTCAACAATGAATGAATGGAAATCCAAAGTTGCTGTAAACTTTCATTGAAGTTAATAATAAATTTAAATAAATTTTAAAAATGTAAAAAAAACCCAAACTCTGTCTATCCTGTGACATCTTCACATTGCCTGACACATCATCCAAATAGATAATCCTATTGAGAGAAATAAAAGTTAACTCGGCATGAAAATGTTCTTTGTCAACTCATTTACATTTTTCTATTGAGTATCCTTTCATAAATGGTGACAAACTTCTGCTAAAATTTATTTCTAGAAATTTGTCAAAGATAAATAATAAACTTACTGCACTATAGATTCCAAAACATATCTTTCCCCTTTTCTAAAAAGAGTTTTGTTAAAAATTCAGCATCTATTTTATTTATCTATTCTATTTTAAATGAAACAAAAAAATCATTCAATGATTTATTAGCAGATGTGCAAATCCATTGGCAACTAGAGAGAGCACTAATTTAAATTTAAAAACAACACCCTGAATGAATGACTGTACTTAAAATAGTCAGCTGTTTCACAGATTAAGGGCTTATCTCCAAAGCCTATAATCCTTTTTATCATATCATTACATCATTTCCAGCTCAAAGACTATTTCTCCTTTCTGAATAATAGTGTTGCAAAATATGAACTGATGATTCCAGGCCTCTTAAAAATGGAAGTCTTCCTGAAGATTGTTGTTCTTATTTACTACTTTTAAAAAGAATGTATGTTGTCTTGAGCCTTTACATGAACTTCAGAGCTTATTCTGGTAGTTTACACCTCTGTTTATAATGGTTTGTATTATTTTTAGAAATCATACATAATTCTGCATTTCCCTTTCCATCTGCTAAATCAATGTGCTATTAACCAAAGAATTTCCTTGTATAACTATATTTATCCTTTTCTTATTAAACATTGTAGCTGTTGTTGTTGTTGACTGCCGCAGAGTAGTCAAGTAGAGCAAGACTCAGAGTGACTCTATGAACAAAAGACCTAATGCCTTTCCATTAACTAATGTTGTTTCTCCAATTTCATAGTTTCCAGAGGCATGTGGTTTAGGAAGCAGATGCCACTCCTGCTTCCAAATCTGTTTTACAACTGGGAGCTCCACCAAATACTGTCCACATTGGGAAACCATTATGGGATTTGATACCCCAATGGCACAAAGTTCAGCATTACAGCAAACCCAGATTACCTCACACAGCACAATGACAAAGAGTGATGTACAAAGTGGAAAGATGTTCCTCCAAATATAGTAACACTAGTCTCACTTAGTAGTTAAGTGTTGTCAAGTTGAATACAACTCATAGTGATCCCCATGCACAAAAAGACCTGATCTCTGCTCTAGAATTAACATAATTTCTGTACGTTTATAGAGTTTATAAAGTTTCCAGGGACATCTAGCTTAAGAAGTGGATGCCACTCCTGCTTCCCAAATGGAATCAATCTGTAGATGTTAAAAATATACCATTTAAATTGGTTTTTGTACTTTGTAACCTCTTACTACCAACACAATTATTCAATACAACATTTTCTTTTTTTTTTTTTTTTTTTTTTTACGTGTGTACCGTCAAATCGGATCTGACTGGTACAGGAGGCGATTGTTCCTCCTTCTTCAGCAGAGCATCTGGTGGATTTGAACCGTGCACCTCTGGGATTGCAGTGCAGTTTCCTGCCACTAGGCCACCAGAGCTCGCCTCAATACAACATTTTCCATGAAAACACATGCCTAATGACTACACAGTAAAACAACAACTTCTAAAGTAATATATTAATAATGTTGTTGGTATTAGTTGTTGTTGAGTCTATTCCAATTCACAGTGACCTCCATGAGTAGAGTAGAACTCCTCTAATTTCAAGGATGTGACCTTTTGGAAATAGATCTCTAAGTCTGTCTTGTGAGGCTCCTCTGGGTATGTTCAAACCACCAACCTTTCACCTAGTAATTGAGTGATTAATTATTTTCGATATCCAGGGACCTCCCAGCTGTAATAGCAGCTGTTTAAACACTTAAGACATTAAATCCTTAAAACTACCAAGTGATGAACCTAACTCACAGTGGAGAAAACTGAAGCACAAAAATGAGTAGTCATCTGTCAAAGGCCACAAAAAGTGGCAGTCAGTCTACTGTCATAGGTTGGCCTATTATCAAAAGACAGTAGAGTACAGGCACACTTCACAGATATTGTAGGTCCAGTTACAGACCACTTGTTGCGTTATATCTCATTAAGTGGCCTGCGACTCACAGGGACCCCACCCATGTACAATAGCTCTGCACTCTGCTCTATCCTGTGCCAGTCTCTCTCTGAGACACCTACTCCCATTACCCCAATTACTGTGTCAATCCATCTCATCCAGGGTCTTCCTCTCCTGCACTGCCCCTCCACCCTTCCAAGCATGATGTCCTTCTCCAGGGACTGCTCCCTCCTGGCCACATGCCCACTGTATACGAGACGGAGCTTCAAAATCCTTGTTTCGAAGGAGCAGCCTGATTTCACTCTCTCCAAGATAAACCTGTTTTTTCTCATGGCAATCCACAGTATGTTCAATAGTCTTCTCCAGCACCACAACTCAAAGGAATCAATTCTTCTTTTGTTATCTTTGGTCACTGCCCAGATCTCTGATGCATAACTATTAACTGTGAAGGCCAATTAGTTTCCAGAATGACATGGTTGTTCTTCAGCACTTTTGAGAGGTCCCTGACAGCAAGACTTTTCCAGAGCAATTAATCTTTTGATTTCTTGACTGCTGGTGCCAAGAGTGTTGATTGTGCAGCCAAGCAAGCTGAAACTGTCTGCCAATTGGCCCACTGATGAGAATCGTAGTCTTCTTGATGTTGAGCTTCAAACCATAAAAAGGACTGCAGTCTTTTGACCTTCGGCAGCAAACACTTCAGGTTCTCCTCAGTTTCTGCAAGCAAGGTTTTGACATCTGCATAAGGCAGGTTGTTGATAAGTCTCCCTCCAATCCTGATACCACATTCCTCCTCATAAAGTCCAGCCTCACAGATGATCTGTTCCACATATAGATTGAAAATATATGGTGACGAGATGCAGCTGGACACACTCCTTTTCTGATTCTGAACCATGCATATTTTGAACCTTGCACTGTCCTCATGACTGCTTCCTGGTCTAAGTATAGGTTTTGCACAAACACAAAATCAAGTGTTATGGGATTCCTGTTCTTCTCAAAGCTAGCCACAATTTATTATGACCCACACAGTCAA